AGTGCCTGGTGGCATTAATCAAATTAATCGACAAGTGCCAAAAAAATTGATTATTGTTTTTCTGACAATTAATCGCACACGATACAATTATGCCCAACCCTAGTTCTTATTACAGCTCCCTATGAGTTTGGTGATGGATGATAAACAAAGTCAGTTTGATCTTGTGTTGATTGATCTGAACCTTTTTTCTTGATTGTAACGTTTCAAACGGATCATGTCCTTTAAGGATTCGTGGGCTTTTTCTTTGCAGCAGAAACTGTGTCGCTCTTCCAGTGAGGAGAGGGCAGCCCATGATTTTCTGGGCTGTAATGATGACTCCCTGGAGGGCTTTCCTCTGAGCCACTGTGCAGCTGAGATGGCACACAGTGATGCATGCAGTGTGTTAAGATGCTCTCTATGGAGCAGTCTGTGAGCACTCTCAGGAAGTTCAGTTTCTGCTGGGCCTTTTTCAAGCTCCAGCTCAGATTCCCCTCACTTTGGATTCCCAGGAAACGGTCGTCGGCTTCTTTCCACACAGTCTCTGTTACAGTCAGGGGCAAGGTGTATTTTTCCTGAAGTCAAAAATCAGCTCCTGAGTCTTTGAGGTGTTGAGGAGTACAAGTTTTGAAAACATCATTTCTCCATCCTTTTTTGGCATTTTTAAGAGGAAAACATTTGAATAACTTTTGTGTGTGTGTGTGTGCACTTTGAACAGACTGCAGTGTTCTTTTAGACCATATTGCCACTATGTCCCCGGCCAAGATGTTTGCTTCAATGAAGGAGAGAGAGAACAAAATGGAGAGACAAGAAGTTCACAGAAGCAGCAGGAGGGAACTCTTTGATGCAGGTGAGAGTACGTTTACTAAAAAAAAAGGCAGACATTTTGGCTTGTTGAACAGCAATAAATCTTTTCTTTTTTGTGTGTGCGTGTGTGTGTGTAGAGAGCTTGCATGAGTCCACAGACACTCCTGTCCCTATGRCTCACAGTTTAGATGAAACAGAGGACACGACTTTAAAAACCACTGCTGACACAACAGGAGTGGTTAACAGAGCCACAGAGGACTCGTGCGACACGCCGTCAGACGCAGACGGCTCTGAGGACACTCTGATCCCTGCTGCTGCACAACCCATTCTGCTGGAAGACTCACTTGTGCTCAACTCGCCCCAAATCTTAATACCTGAGAAAGGCAAGGTCGCGTTCAAACGCAGCCACTGGCCCCGGCAGAAAAAGTTCCCAGTTGTGAGTAGAAGCAGATAAACAACAATAAGCTGTTTTGTTTTGTCTCGTCTCAAACAAAAAAAAGGCATCTTTCAAGGTTTATTCTATTTTACTTCACTTCCTTTATTAAACGGTTATAACAAATAAGAGCTAATTTTCATGAAAATTCACCAGTTTGTGAACCAAAACAGGATTTGCAGACACATTTAGGAATGTAAATTTGGTAGATTATTTCTTTGTAACAATGCTTCTTGGCAACAAATCTAACGCTGTTGGAAAGTCTGTCGATTTCTCTTTTAAATGGCGCCACATTTGTAAGGAACATGCATTTGTGAGACGAGCTGTGGCGCTGAGTGTGGGTTGCGCACATGAAAAAGTTGCCAAATCTTCTCTGCCACACAGCTTATTTTTCTGTTATTGGCATTTGTTTCGAGCTTTTGGTACCCCCAAGTGCTGCCGATAACACGATTTATCGTCAAGAAGCAGGGCTGCACGATATCACCTGCAGTAACAGCGTTTAATATTGCGATAAATGAAAAGAAGACTAAAATATACAGTGTCATCATTTCAATTACAACATGACAGAGTGATTATGATTTGATTTATTATCTCTGGTCCATTTTGCTTATCAGACTGACGCTGACAGAACACATGAATTCAAACATTAAAACCAACCATTTATTGCAATTTTTGCTTTTTTTTTTTGCAATGTGCCTATTGCATGGTTGATAGCACAATGACAATAAATTTGCAATATATTGTGCAGCCCTATCAAGAAGCATTGTTACAACAAAGAAATAATCTACCAAACACAAATTTCCATACATTTGGTGCTATTATTTAGCTGTGCTTGTTTGCAGGAGAGAGTGATTCATCTTAAAAAGTGGTTCTTGAGAAGAAATCAGAACGGCCTGTTTGTGGATGGAATCCATGGGTAAACCTTTAAAGTATTCTGTGTATCTTGTTTAACTTAATGATTCTTTTCAGAAACATCAGGTTTTGTGTATCTGTGTCTAAACTCTGGGATTTATTTACTGGTCTTTCTGTTCCAGGGAGGACAACGTACCGTGGAACAGTAACATCATTGTGGAGAGAGTTTCCAGTAAGGCGGTGAAAACCGTCTCCGGCAGGGTTTACATCTTAGTTGGGAAGATGAAGATAAATCGCACCTCTGGTAGGGATGTTCATGTGTTCAAACAGAGACGTTAACGGGGCATCGGTGCAAATCTGCTACGATAAACATGCTAACAACATTCTTTCATCTCACTGCTCAGATTTCCCAAAGAGTTTTTTGAAAAGGTTTATTTCTGGTTTCCCTCCAAACTGGAACACTCTGTACGAGGAGTTTCTGTCAAAGTTAAAACAGTAAGAGTATCCCACCCCTCGTACTTTCATAGAACGCCCTTGCCTCGGTGGTGATTTTATTCATTTAGAGGACTGTMTTTGCGTGTTTTCCAGGGCTGACGCACCGAATAGTAACAAAGTGAAAGCCGAGGCCTCCGTCAACCAGTCTGWAAAGAGAGTGACGCCAAAACCTTCAAACACACGTAAGTGCAAAACAAACTACAGAAATTACTTCATGCTGAAAACTTAAGCTGTAAACTGCTGAAAGTGTGCTGAAAATATTTAATAGCAAAAGTGTTAATGTGAGTTCAATTTGAAAAGCTGTGATGCAAAAAAAGCCTAACTTTGCAGAAAAACAGTAAAAAGGAGCACAAATCTAGTTGAAAACAACAAAAAACAGCTAAAAGCTARGCACTAAAATAGTTGAAAATAGCTGAAAACATCTGGAAGAAGCATAAGTAGCTCAAATTAATTGAAAAAAGCACAAGGAGTTTAAAAAGCAGAAGAATAGCAGGAAGAAGCAGATCTACAGTTAAAACAGCAAACAAAGCTAAAATTAGCATGGGCATACTTTTAGCTAAAATAGCAGCCACAAGTTGAAATTAGCACCTAGATAGTGACAGTGCTGTAAAAAAGTGGCAATTCTTAGGAAAATAGCTAAAACAGCCAAAAGGTTCAGTAAAACAGCAAAAAAAAAAAATAGCTGGAAATTATTTAATTAGCATAAGGAAGCATAACGAACACAAGTTTGCTGAACCTAGCTGAAAAAAGTTGTAATAGCTACAAAAATTGTGTATTTATCTTAGAAAAGCTAACTTTAGCTAACAGCAGCTAAACATTAGCTGAAATTAGCATTTGAGCATAAATAGCACAAAGTAGCAGAAAAAGGCACAAAAAAGTAGTAAAAAGCAGAAGAATAGCGGAAAGAAGCAACATTTTAACTTAAATAGCTGAAAAAAGCTACAATTTACAAAAAAGTAGCTAAAATTAGCACAATAAAGTGAAACAGAGCMTAAAAAGAACAAAATGTGTAAGGTTCTTTAAAGATTTAGATTTAGAATATTTTAAGGATGTTGAAAATGGCTCCATTTATTTTCAATGGCAAAAAAGTGGCTAAAAAAGGCAAAATAGCTAAAGAAGTATAAATAGCTAAAATACCAAAAGTCATAGCACCGCTCACATGAATGAGCTAAATGTTTTGATATATGAGTTGTTGAAATAGCACAAAAATTGTGGAACGAGTTACATACCGAAAAACGTACGGAAGAAAAAATGATCTCAATGGTGTGAATGCTGTGAAGCATTCATTCACATGCTGCCGTCTTTTATTCACTTCCTGCTCTTCTCCAGCTGCTTCCTGCTCTTTCACCGCCGCCTCCTCCTCTTCCGCACAAGTGACTCGAAGTGGCCGACTGATCAAACCGCCTCTGGAGTTTTGGAAAGGCGGGAGAGTCCTCCTCGATGCACAAATGAACGTTACCATCCATGAATGTTACAACAGCGGTACTGTTGTAAGCCCACAAAGCTGCCACCTCTTCAAATATAACGAGCGGTTGCTCTGACTGAACAAAGATATTAAACGCTTTCATTTTTCCTCACAGGAGGTGTCTACGATAAAATCTCAGAGGTCGTCAAAGGAGCCGGTCCGACCCAGCAGTGGAGGTAAAGCTTTAGAGAGAAGAGTAGTTCTTGACGTCAAGGTAAGCCAAGAGTTTCACGACAGACTTCTTTCGTTGATCCCAGGTTTGAAGCAGAGCGAATCCACCAAAGATGATGAGGAATCAGCACCAGTGAGGAAGGTTAGAACTTTGCGGAATCGGAACACGGCCAAGAAGCCTCCTAATTTATCTGAATCCACCTGCGAGGGGTTTAAGGTGCCCGAACTGTGCTTTGGTCAGACAACACGGTCCAGTCAAAGGCTCCTACGGAAGACGGAGGAAAAAAGAACTTATGTCGTTTCAGAAAATCAAACTGAATCTGAAAAGACTTCAACACGGAGTTCTGCAAACCAGATAAACAGCACCGGGAGGCCGTTGAGAAGTAGGCGGGCCGTCACAAGCAGTCCTGAATCTCCTCCTGATGCAGATCAAACATCGAACCATTTGTCAACCGATGATGATGAGTTTCCTATCAGGAGAAAACAAGGCGTGAACAGTAGGAAAGGCATGAAGGTTTCTAACACATCCCAGCCGGATCGCGGGTCTTCGTCAAGTCAGCCATCAGAGTCTTTTAAGGAGAGCAGGAAGGGACTGAGAGCGGGAGGTGGCAGAACAAAGCTGCGTGACGAAGAACCAAAACACAGGGAGCGCAGACAAACCAAACCATCCCCACAGCTCAACAAGAGACGCCTCGCAAAGAAGAGCAGCGCCGTCGTTCTGGAAGAGGACGATGAATGGACCGAGGAGGAGCTCCTGAAGCTGGAAGAGTAAGTTTATCTTAAAGGATGAAAAATGAAAAGATAAATGAAAACTTAGATTAACAACAGATGATGTGTTTTATTGATGTAACAAGAACGGAGTCCACCACTTTCTCTGTTTACCTTGTTTGTGTTTGAACCACAGCCATAAATAGCTATCGTCATGTTTTTTTTTTTTTTTTTTTTTTTTTTTTTTTTTTTCAGGGCTGTGTCCTACTATCAAAAACACGTAACGGGCTACTGGACAAAGGTAGCACTGATGGTAGGAACACGATCAGCAGAAGAGTGCCACAGGCAGCACACATCACAGGGGACATCTCAGAGTCCGAAAAGAACGGAGAAACACGCAAAGAAAAAGGTGGAAGCATCAAAACCTCCTGGTAAATAAAAACAAGTTGCTGTTTGATACTGAAGGCGACACCACACAAATCTGATACATCTTTATCTGTGTTGCATTACATTATACAAGTCGAAATGAGGGGTGTCCCAATACCAGTTTTTGTCAAACTGAGTATGAGTACTTGAGTTTGGGTTAGGGCTGGGCGATATGGCCTAAAATCAATATCACGATATATTGACCAGTTCACCTCGATAATTAGATAAATGCACAATAACTCTTACCACCCACCACCACACACAAGTTCACAGTATAGAATAGTCATAATACTATACACTGTGTCCATGTTCTTAGTCAAAGTACACAGTTTAGATTTTGAACAGCTTTTCTGTAGTTTATCTTTGTCATTTTAGTGTTCTTAATATATTTAATAAAAAACATTTTTGGCAAGACATGAGTCAGATATAGTCATACAAATATTTAACCATCTTCTTCATAAATTTTCAGTGCAAACACATTATGTATTATACTTTTATTTAAAAAAAACGTACCAAATATGTATTTTGCAATGCACAAAATAACTTACATTCATCTTTTCATTTGTTAGACTGACTTGATTTCTCTATTAAAATAACTGTTTCTTTCAAAAAGTTTATATTATTTAGAGAACTCATGCAATCATTTATTATGTTTACCATATATTATATTTGACCATTTATTGAATCACAAAGCAGTTCAGTCACAGTATGGTTAT